CTGCAATTTCTTTAAATTCTGGCTAATAAGGGCCTAGGCAAAGAAGAGTGATCGAGACAGAAGCAATAAACTCAAAATAGACCTAACAATGAAGGGAGCCCCAAATTTCTTAATTTAAGGCTGGGCCTAATGATAGCCCAATTACTCACTAACGGCTACAAATGCACCAAACCCAGTCTGTGTTGAAATATGGAGAAACATTTTAAGTGGAAAAAGTTGATTAAAAGCATGTGAACACTATGATTATAGGTATGAAAAAGGGAGCTACATGCACATTCCCAATGTTTTTAACACAATTTAAAATGACAGTTTAATATTTTAATTTTTTTCTTCTTTTAGAAACTGCTTGGCAACACAATCAACATGAATCCAAGGCAATAATGCAAGTTGAGTTTCTGATTCAGTTGAGGACAGACTGGATTTTGCATACTTGGTGGAAATTTCATGAGACTCGTGCTGTATTTTAGTTTTGCAGGCCTAGCTATTTTTAGCATTGCGTGGCTTGAATCTTCAAAGAAGTTCTTGAGAATAAAATTGGAATTATTCACATTTTAAGTGCAGGCCACATGGCACAATTTGGTGAGATAAATCTGTGAGAAATTCCCAAGTATGAATCACATATGTGGGGAAGAATCTGGCCCACAGACTTCCTTTAATTAAATGCCTGTCTAATAAAATATCATCAATGGAAGACAGATGACTGTTAAAGGAGCTGGAGCAATTCCTTTTAAATGCTGGAACTCATTAAATGCATTTCTTCATGCTAAGATAATTTCTTGCACTTTTATTTTGCCCTGAGCAAGCAGCAACAAAATCAACCACAAAAGGGTCTACAATTTACATATTTTGAAATACTATCTAACTAAAGATATTAATGCAAGGAGGCCCTGGAGCAGCCCTGAGTGGCTTGGAGATTTGTTTCTGTATATGGTTTGTCTTCCATTCAAGGCCTTCTGATATCATTTCATAGAGCAGCCATTATGTGAAGGCCTGGGTTCCCTGTTGATTCAGGGGACCTCTAAACTAGCTATTGTCTTAGAAAGATTCCTTGACAGGTCTTGGAAAACCCTTTGGAAATCTGAAAGAATTCACAGGTCTCTAATCTCTGCTGTCTATTTTTCACACCTAAACCCCCCTCTGATCTTCCAGCACTCTTACTTCAATTTCATGCATGCTCACGCCCTCCTTAAGCCACACAGTGAGATTCTGGAGGCCAGGTAAAGACTTGGGGACCAGAGTTGCACAAAAGGTCAGTGGCGTGGAAGGTGGGATGGTGGAGGCTGTTGGCTTTCCTGGATCTATGCACAGTGAGAGACCATGTCACCCCCGCGAACCGGCTCTACCAGGCTCAAAGAATGCTTATGTTTACTCTCCCACTGATGGTTGGAATCTATTACTGCACGATGAGCTCCTCCAGAGGCAATTAGTGAATATTCCCAGCACTTCAGGGTATGTGCCTTTTGAACAAACTACACCTCTGCCCCTTTTAAGCACCATTAATCACATCAGGATTGCTGCTTTCATAAATACTGGCCAATAGGCAGAAATTGAGTTGCTTGGCTGGTACCAAACCAACCTGAGAAAAACTATAAGCAACCCTGAAAGTAGAAATCTATTCACTACAGAACCAAGTACTCCACCATTGATCAGCTGCTTTTAAACTCACCTCCTTAGGAAAAAGCAAAACAAAGTATTGGAGCCTGTTTTGCTTTGGAGGTTTACAGCTGCTGATTCACATCAAAGTCTGGGTAAATGAATACCTGTAACTCATTCCCATTTCATGATCAGACTGCTAGATAATTAGAGGTAAAGAGAAAACTCATTTGAACAAATCACCTTCACATATAAACCACAGGATTGCGAAAGTGAATTTGCTTAACTCACATTTGACTAGATTTTTATATAGTAAATTGACATCTTTTTCTAAGTCCAAAACAGAATATGCAGAAACATGTTATAACTACAAAGATCCCACGATATATAAAGCAGTTCTTCCTACCTAGTATGAACTATAATTGCCTAAGTCTACATGATTCCTGGTTTCCACATGATTTTAATTATTAATCCATACAAGATTCTCAAAAATCAAAATATTGACTCAAAAAGGTCCTATTGCATCAAGAAGTCACATAAAGTAAAAAGCTGGTCTAGAGACAAGTTTCTAGCTTTGTCACTCACTAGCTCTAAGACCAGGTGAAGGCTCCTTACTTCATCAGAGCAAGGTTTCTTATCCAGAAAATGAAGGTCTGCCCTAGGTCCCTTCCAGTTTTAAAATTCTGTAACTGTTAAACATATAAATCTAAAGCAAGACATAAAAAGACTACTTCAATGAACATCTTTCAAACTATCCACTAATCAATTTGATTCATCAATCATGCACCGAATCAAATGATTAGGAAGATAAAACAAAAGTTTGTATACAAATGGGTGAAGTTCTCAGAATCTTTAAAACCAACTTCTTGACATTCATGTGGACAGATAATCACTTGTGAAGCATGGGTCAGTCAATACTTCCATTGGTGACACGCTGCTGCCAAATTCTACTCAAGTTTCCCAGAGAGGCTCAGCTCTTCCCTGTGAGAGTCACGTCATCGGTGTAGCAAGGCCACTGGCGTGGCAGCACGTCAGGGACATACCCTTCTTAAAACTCTTCTCAGTAATTCCATAGTTACTTAGGATCTAAAAATCTGATTCTACAATTCATCTTTATATAAAAGAACCGAAGACTGAAAAGCACCAAATAACAGACATTTAAAAAAGAACTTTGTTTGTGATGCTTTTCCTACTCTTCAAGCAAGCCAAAATTTCAGCTAATATTTTAAACATATTCCACTAGATTCTACAAAGCAATTGTGTCTGGCTGAGAAGTGACCCTTGGCTACCGAGCAGAACCATCTGGGGGCCCAAGTGGCACCCCAGACAGTTAGATCAAAATTTCTAAGGTCAGGACCTAGGCACGCATCACTAATTTTAAAATATGCAGCTAAGGCTAAGAAACAAGGCAAGTTAAAACCAGGCTCTTCTTTCTAAAATGCAGGAATGCTGGGTGGAAGGCACTGGCATAGGTGGGCAAGGCTTAAAAAGGAATCAGACTTCTCACTACTTCCACTTCCACCTTCTTCCTGCACAGAGACACATCCGAAGTCACTTCCCAAGAAAAGGCATTAGTATTCACAGGAGTGCGAACATTTAGAAGGTGCATAAAAACCCACCAAGGGCAACGATACCGGAAAAACGGGCCTTCTCTGTGCAGTGCACAACTCAAAGGCAGGCATTTAGTTTGCTAACCTCCTGGTGACCGGTGCCTATGGCAAGGCCTTCCTTTCTCCATCATCGATCAATAGCCTTTCTGTTTCACCAAGAGATTCTGGCAGTTATAGCTTCTTAAAACATAACAATTTGACCCACCAATGCAAATCCAAACCAAACCAGCAATCCCATGTAAATTACAGAAGATCTGACAACCTTTATATCATTTTATATGAAGTCTACAAAGAAGAAATAACTCCAAATTCTTCCGATTAAAATGTTCATTACTCTTGATTAAGTTTTCACTAACACTTGGTCTCAACTAATAATCAACTTACATTTGACCTTGAATTTTGTCAGTTCCTCTCTTTATGAGAGAAAGAAAAGCAGCCCTCCTTTCTGGATCTCAGTGACACTCTGAAAATAGGAGGGTGATCTGCACACAAAATTAAACATACACAGAAAATGCACAATCAGCTTCCTAATGAAGTATTTCTTTCTAGCCTTCAACCTGAAAGATCAACAAGCCCCTGGTAACTTGCTAATATCTGCTATTTATCTTGTCCACCTTTTTTGGAAAGCAAGCCTCTGTGTGAAATTTTGTTTTACTGAAACATTTTAGACGTCAGGAGTGCCCTATCCAAACATGTGCCTGTCCAAAACGTCCTCACAAACATTGATTAAAAATTAACAAGTCACTAGAGCAGACATTCTCCACTGAAACCCTGGCCTCATGCCTCCAGGTTCCTGACACTTGAAGACGTGCCTCTGGTCTCCTCACTCCGCCTCCTCCTGCTCCTCCCTCAAATGCAGGCCACCAAAGGCCTTCTGACTTCTCAGCGCGGACGGGGAGCTCAGCACGGCCGCGTTGCCAAACATGAGGGGCTGGCTCAGAGGGCTCACCATTTCAGAGTCTGAATCGCTGGATTCAGTCCCACTGCTGGTGGAGCCCTCGGTCATTTGCAGGGGTGCCAGGTGGTCCACCATGCCACTGGCACACCCTGGTTGCACGATGGGGACCTTGGAGGTGGGACCCAGGAGAGGTGTCCCATTAGCCAGCATTCTCCCTTCTGAACCAGCCAGGCTGGCCAGTTCTCCCTTTTCATGGCCATCAAACCTATCCATCGCCTCTGAGATTGACGCTACCTGGCTAAGGATGAGTGGATTTGTCTCTGACTTATTATATCTACTGGGAAGATTTCTTAAGTATGGCCTTTGTAAGACGGGGGAACAGTTTTCATAACAAGGACCCCGGTTCGAGAGAGTGTCTTCTTCCATACTTTTCCCTCTAGGGTCATGCCCATTTTCGGAAACATAGCCTTGAGACCCAGTCCTGTCCCAACTCATATCTGGACTTGAACTTCTGCTGCTGGGAGACAGTGGCGTGGCCAGGGGACTGTGACTGCCTGAGCCCCTGAACATCTCATCTATCAGAGAGCTATGTCTTGGGAGTCTGGGGCTCCCACTCACATCAAAGGTTATGTCTGCTGAATCGTCATCAAGGAATTCTCTGGAAGGAGGCCGGGAGGACTTCGCAGAGTGAGGGGAAGCCCTGTGCCTAGCGTCTATTTGCCTGTCATCCCTGGAGAGCAGGTAAACACCACTGGTCAAATCACCCTCATAATTGTCATTTGTTTGGGACCGTGACTGGGACGTTTGTTCCCTGAGAAGATCGGATTCGCTATCTACATCACTGCAGTCAATGAAAGGAATAGAAGTGCTGCTGCCTCTAGCAGCCCTGGATGCTGGACCTGTGCTTGGCTGCGGGGGCTGAGGTTTACTCTGCTGGGTCCTATCCTTAACGACCTCCTCCTCTTCCTCCGTCGTGGCCTTCACGGCTCCATCGGCCTTCTTGTTACCCACTGGGCTCTTCTGCAGAGCGGGGCTTTGGCGCGGCCCACACTCTTCGGTGGAAACCTTCAGTTCCTTTCCTTGCTGGCAGCTCTGGCCACCTGGGGACTCGGCACCTTCGCCAGGAGCAAGGCTGGCACTCTGCTGAGCCTGGGGGGCGGGGAGGGGGGGCAAGACAAGGAAGAGGGGACGGAAGAGAAAAGGCAGAGGGTTACTCCAGATCTGGGAAAAAAGAGAGAGAGTCAGAGTCTAGTTTAATAACATCTCCTTAAGCTTCGAGCAGCCCAAAAGTATTGCCAAATAAAGGCGGCCTCCGTGGCACTGGAACAGAGCTCTGACAAGCAGCGGGCCTGAGAGCATTTGTCAGTATCCAGAAACTTCTTTCAGGGTGTGAAGCTGACAGTGCAGGGTCCCCAGCGGCACAATTAGGCAGTGTCTCTGCTTTCTAGGACCCACAGTCTCATACTGGGTTTCTAAACTGTCTACGGAACAAGAGAGCCCCTCTAGGCCACAGGGCCTTCCCGAGGAAGTGTGAGCCGGGGCAGGAAGGAAACATTCATAGACCCCAGGAGGCAAGCTGACACGGATTTCAGACAAATGACAAAAAAGTCTTTGTTTATACTTCTAAGACCAGAATGAACAGGTCAAGGGCTCTTTTTGGAGTCACACAATGAAATCTCCTTCATGTTCTTTCCCAACAAAGTTCTCATTCTCTTGTAGAGAAAACCCTGAAAATCCATCCAGAGACCAACTCCAGGAAAAATGAGCTCTTGCCACCCTCAGAGCAAGAGCGATAATGTCTCTTGTTGCCAACTGTGGTCACTGCCCTGTAACAGGAGCCTGGGAGCTCACCGCCCCGTCCAGTGCCAGAGAAGTGTTTTGACCTTGGCACTGAAGAGGAGCTACACCCATCGGCCGCAAAGCAGGTCCCGATCTCTTCACGCGAGCACACCCATCGGCTGGAGGATGGGCTCTGCTCTACCAGCTCCCATGGAAGGAGGGAAGGTTCCACCCCTCAGTTGGGTTCAGGCCAACAGAGCTTCTCTGTGGCAAGAGCATGGGAGGAAGGATGGGAAATCAGCTAAAAAAGGGACACACTCCAGCCACTGAGCTTAGGTTGGGGGTGTGCAGTGCACAGAGCATGTGTATGCTCAAAGTCAGGGCACAGGTGCCTTGGCAGGTGTGGCTCAGTGGTTACAGTGTCGGCCCTCACACTGAAGGGTCGTGGGTTCGATTCCTGCTCAAAGGCATGTACCTGGGTCAGAGGTTTGATCCCTGGACCCGACTGGGGTGTGTGCGAGAGGCAGCCAATCGATGTGTCTCTCTCACATTGATGTTTCTCTCTCCCCCAACTCCTTCCACCCTCTCTAAAAATCAGTGGGGAAAAAATACCCTCAGGTGAGGATTAATAATAGCAACAAAAGTCAGGGCACACTACTGGACTCTCTTCTCTATAAGACACTCTCACAGGTGAAAGACGAAGAACTCGAAAGCATGCTATGAAACACAGAACTCGGCAGAGGAGGTCTGGTGAAAAGCAGAGCTCTAACAGTGTCACCATTACTCACTTGTTTTGGCACTTCTGAATTCGGCTCTGTAGGCTGCATAGCAAGGCTTCGGATGGAGTGAATCTTGCTGTGTTTCCTTGGAGAAAACACAGAAGAGTTAAAGTTAGGTGAGGTGTGTTTTTTTTCCTTAGTGAAAAATAACAGCATTAGGCACTTCCTCAACAATGAAGACACCCAAAGTAGTTGGTATAAATGCCCCAAGGAAACAGACCCAGTCTTCTTTCCCATAGTTCCTGTAGGTTCCAGGGATTAGTTAAACCTTGAGAACGCTCTCAGCAATACCCTGCTCCCTCTCGAGGGGTACAGTAGTTAGTGGGGCACTAACTATCTAGCTATGGGAAAAGTCACTGGGAGGGAGAAGCTGCGGGGCCCACATATGCTCTAGATTGCAAGCTATGGTCTAACAAGATGAAATCAATTTGTGCTTTTGGGGTAATGATTTTCTAGACCAGTGGTATAACAAAGGCAGTCACTACTCATCAGCTAACTCTTTCACAGTGTTAAGTTCAGAGAAGACCTGCCCTGTGAGTGAATTATAAACTCAACAGTAGAAGGAATTGGCCTTACCGCCACTAACACCTCTCCTCATTTTTCCCTTTCTTAGTCTGTCCATCCCCTCCTCCCCAGGGAAAAAGCATTAGGAACTTTTCAGGTACTCAAATGTGTGAAACTGTATAAACACAGAAAAATTAAATTCCAATGTGCATCCAGCTTTTCTTCAAAATACTCCAAATTAATACTCAAAAGTTCTGAAACACCCACAGTCTGAATCAGAGAGAGAACTGAACCACTTCTTCTATGATCTTCAAAAGATTAATGGGGGACTGTCCAAGAAAAAATTATGGGGCTTGTTCTATGAAGATGAGCATGCTAACAGCCCACTGAACACTACAGGCCTGGGTACAGGGAGGGAGCACAAGCTAGGCCTGCATCGGAAGGAATACACTAGGGCGGCCACAGCAGCAGATCTGCGTCAGCAAAAGCAAAGCACTAAACAACCTGACTGTTGACCAACAGAAAATAAGGTAAATAAAATACCCTCAACTACCAGAAAACACTTAAAACAGATCTCAGATCAGGGAAGGGTTTAGAAAGAAAGATGCAGAATTATGTACAGTGTGATGCCGATACCACTTATACAAATAAAAAAGCACACCCCAGAGCAACTCTACATATGCTTTTTGGATGCACAAAGTAACGTGAAGCAGCCAGGTGTTGCCTCTGGGGAGGGGAGAAGGGAAATAAGAAGGCCACATCTGTAACAACAGCTATAGATAAAAGGAGAAAAAGAACTCCAGAAATACGTATGTTAAAATGTTAATTCTAAGTAGTGAAAATATGGGTGTTTGCTGTATTCTATGTACTTTATTGTAATTTTCAAATGCAACAAAATGAGAAAAGAAAAATATTTTTAAAAAAACATGGGCTGGCACGGCTGGCATGGCTCAGAGGTTGAGCATCGACGTATGATCCAGAAGACCGCGGTTCGAATCCAGGTCAGGGCACATGCCCGGGTTGCCGGCTGGATCCCCAGTGGGGGGCGTGCAGGAAGCAGCCCATCAATGACTCTCATCATTTCTAACTCTCTCTCTCCCTCTCCCTTCCTCTCTCTGAAATCAATAAAAACATATTAAAAACAAAAACATGGGCTGAATAGTCCTTGGAGCACTGCCCTCCCCCTTTCCCTTGGATCTCAGTCCTCTGGGTTCTCTGCGTCTCCCTCTCTGGGAGGCAGAGCGGTGCTCAAGGGCAATGGGCTCCGGAGCCAGATGACGAGGGGCCGCTCACCAGCTTGGAGACCCGGGCTGGTTACTCAGCCTCTTTGAGCTGTAGCGTCTCCACCTTTAGAAAGGGAGGGAGCAGCACGGACCTCACAGTGTGGGTGTGAAGCCTGTGAGCTAATACACGTAAAGAGCTTGGAACACTGCCCGGGACATCGTCGGAGCAATAAACATTTGCTAGCAACAGCAATACCAAATCCTGTTTATTTTCCTCCAAATTTTATTTAATTAAAAAGTTTATAAAAATGCGTTCAATTCAAACCCCAAAATATCGAAGGACTCACCAAAGGGTGCGTTTTCACAGCGTTGCCCTCCCTGCCCCCTGCTGGCTTCTCCCTCCTCAGTCCACTCTCCTTACCTCCTCGCGCCCTCGCATACACGCCCCTGGGCCCGCCCGCGGCCCTGTGCAGCGCAACACGGGCCAAGGCGATCGCCACGCCTGGGTGAGGAGACACCCAGCAGCAGCTGAGCTGTCCCCCGGAGAGAAGGGCTCGGCTCCTCCCGTAGTGGGAGCAGCAGGGAAGCCTCTCTTACCTTTCAAACTGCACCTTCTTATGTCCTCCTTCTTTCACGTAGTCGAGAACCTGCTTCTGAGTCCGACCGCTGCAGCGAAGGCCACGAGCAGAGAGAGGGGACAGCGAGGCGTTCTCATTTACACATGCGGCCCTCCGCCACCCCCACTTCCCTCCTCCCGTCCGGGGGGACCTGGGGGCTTTCTCAGCTGGCCAGCAGCGAAAGCAGACTAAGGAAAACTGTGTTTCTGTGCCTATTCTGCCTCTTGATATTGCCCTTGCGACTAAAGGGGAGTGTTCCATGAACTGAACCACTCAGTTCCGTGTCTGGTTATCAGGCAAACATCCTGAGTCTGTATGCCTTGTGAAGGGATAATTTTGCTCACTGTGTATCCCCCAGCGGCCAGAAGAGTATTTGACATGCAGTAGACACTCAGAGTGCTCAAAGAATGAGTGAAAAAGTGGCGCATGATGCCAGGTCTATGCAGCGTTCGTTCTATGACGCTGCATGGAGTGTTAGCAGTGACTTGCTTCTACAGAGAAGAGTCCTTTCTGAATTACAGAGGCCCGTTCAGAGTGTGCTGCAGCCAGGCAGGCTGCCTGGTGACCGACACTCCAACAGAACACAGCGAGGCCCGCCAAGGGGCCTGCAGGGACGGCTGAGCAAATACCTCGGGCTCCCAGGGACCCCCTCGGACCCCATCCCCTCGCTGAGTGGAGCAGCTGCAATAGGCAACAGTGAGAGGAGAGTCTTGGGGGAAATGTGCACATGGCAGGCGGAGAGGAGTGAAGCGAACCCTTACCTGAACCGAAATGATGACCCTCGACTAAAGAGAACAGGCTTTGGCTTTGGTTTGGGCTCTTCGAAAAGTCTAAAGAAGGCATGATGTTCAACACAGATTTTCCAGAAGGACTTGCAAAAATCCCGGCTGGCCATTAGGAATTCCAAGGTGTCCTGGTAGGAGCTCTAAAAAGAGAAAAAGTATCACTCTGGTGTTTTTTTTTTTAAATTACCCACAGACACTACGTTGAAAAATGAGAAAAGGGACAGAAAATAAATATATCCAATAAAAGTTCAAATGTGCATTTTATTATAGCATGACCATAAATTCACATATTTAGTAAAATATAGCTGTTTCTAATGACAAAATACAGTTATCATTCAACCATTTTCTTCCCCATAGAACTCCTTAGAGAAACTAACAGAAACCAGGGGTATGTAGCAAAAGTTGTAACATTTCATTTGACAAAATTCATAAATAAATTATGTGTACTTGGCTTACACTTCCTTCTAAAAAAAAATCCAAGTACTGAAATTCCTTTTTTGCCTCCTTAAAATAACTGCAACACAATTTTTCTGTTTTCTCCCTCATGGTTCGTGCCAACTTTAAACATTGGTCTTAAGTCTCTTCCTTACCAAAAAGCATATGGCTTGAGCCTCCAGGTGGCCCCAGGGACCATATGGGAAATGAACATTTTTTTTCTGGAGCACAAAAGTATCACTCAAGGCTGAAAAATTCCTGTCCTTTGATTCTGGAAAGGGGATATGGTAATTTTCTATTCCCAGACTGAATGCCCCCAATTTAAGTGGCCACATTACATAAACAAAAGTTACCATAGTCCTTAACGTTCTCAGCAGTTCCAACTATTTGGGGAAATCTCACAGTTCTGGGCAGTGCAGTCCCAACTTACAAACGAGTTGTGCTGTAATTTTTCATGTGTAAATCAGCCTTTTGGACCACAAAATGCATTTTCCCATGGAAAACAACTTATAATGGGTGCCTGCTTCCAAGGTCAAGCCATAAAAGCCTATTTAATCCATACTGTAGCTAAGCTATAAGCCTAGAAGTCCATTTATAATCTTTTTTCCATGGGAAAAAGAACTCCAAGTACTGGCTGGGGACATCAGCGATATATTATCCAGCTCCTCCAATGCCATTTCCGGCAGATGAAGGGGATGCTGTTCTTCCTTCTCTGACCCAGTCCCAGTGTGAGCAGCACTGTAAGGGTCCTGTGGGAAGTGGACGTGGTTAGCTCATGAGAACGCACCATCAGAGGTTTGGGACAACAGCAGGGACTCGAGATGGGGACTGCTGCCATGTGGGCAGGGATATGCCTGGAATACAGCAGAATGCTGAAGAGGGTCTCAGGTGACCCAGAGGCTGGTTGCAGCAACAGCAGAGCTCAGGGTGTTTGTCAGGAGGGGCTGCCGGTGTTTGCGCTGGCAGTGACCCTCCCCCTAGGCACACATCTGTGCTACCTAGCCTTTACCTTCTGTTTACTGAGAGCAACAGCTGTGTAGCTACCAAGCCTTTGGATACATCCCTCTGTACACTCAGACACCTGAATGGCTGTTGGCTGGTTTCAGCCTTGCCCTAGCACGGGCCACTCCATCCCAAGGGCTCGCAGGGCTGGCTCAGAGGGTCTCCCCTCTTTCCTGGGAGCCACTTACATTTGCATCTGGGCGGAGCTTGATGAGAAAGCGCTTCCTCTTGAAGCTCAGCTTCCGCACCTTTGCCCAGTTGAAGGCATTGATCTTCGTGAAGCCCTAAGAAGAACGGAATCAGCCAGTGAGCCAGGAAATGCATGAGTAGCATGGGTGTTGGTATGTGTTGCTTATGGGGAACTGCAAGGAGGGCTGATGTTCCATGGCTCGGGAAGAATGCATTTTGCTGGAAAAGCCACAGATCTGCAGCTGTGGGGTGATGCGGGTTCCTGGATCGTTATTTCTCACTAATTACATGAGTTGGCATCCCAACTAAGTCTGCCTCCAGGGAGGAAAGAGGCTAGCCAAGGGAATGATAAAAAAGAAAGATAAATAAAAATAAAAACCATGACAACCACCACAATAATTAGCGATCATTATTTACAGCATGCCAGGCACTGGCCTAAGGACTTTACAGATCTTATCAAACCTTACACAAAACCCAGTGAGACGCCTTTCTTATCTTCATTTTATAGATGTGGAATCTGCAGCAAGGATATATTTTAATTTGACCAAAATCACACAGTGAACATGGCAGAATGAGATTCCTGAGCATGTGCCTTAGCCAGCAGCTGCTGTTCACGTCCAGAAAGCAACACCGCAGGTAGGCAATCGCCCTTTTGTCCACATGGCCTGGCTCCTGGGTCCACCAGGCTTCCAACAGCACAACCAGAACCTGGGAGGGGAGGCCCCACCTTCCCACTATCTTCTAGGCCAAAGAACAGTCTCCGGGAAGGACTCACACCTCCTCATCTTTGATATAGCCATGTGGGACATGGTGGGGAAGCAGAGGGGAGCTGCCAGACACCAGCTCCCATCTGTCCTGTCATCTCAACTGAAAATAGAATTCCTCCATCTGAACACCAGGACCATTTATTTAAGTCGGTTAAGAATGAAGCAATTAGGCACCGACAAGAAGGTTCATTCCAAGATACAGCCTTTGTACATGATTAAATTACTGAGCAATTCTCAGTATTTGGATTGTATCAAACACAATCAAAGCAAATTAATACAAATGTGAGGCACCTCTTTCCCCACTCTCATTTTTAGAAATGTTTAAGGGTTTTAATTTTGAAATTAATGGTAGTACCGAAAACGACACTTAGTTTACCCTAGTTTTCCTCATCAGGTACTCCTAGATTATTTCTGCAGGTCCAAAACTGTTAGGAGGAGTCACCTACTCAAATACCACACTGCTCTCAACACGTCACTCCCTGCGATCCCATGTGAATCCCAATCTTAACTCCTTTCTCAGGACACAGGTCTGTGATCATTAGTGTCCATCATAAACATCTGATAAAGAAGCAGAGAATCACAGGCTATTTTGGTAAAATATGAAGGAGGAAATGTAACCAAACCTGGCAGAGCTCAAAAAAGTTTTAGGTCATGTACACATTTTATACCTTCTAATCTGGGTGACCTCTGACCCTATTTCATGAGAAAGGCAGATGCTTTCTTCACACCTATCTGAAGCCAAAGTACGATTACCTACTTTTGTTTAAAAGAAGCTTTGAGAAAATTTGGGGGGCTGGTGAGTATTTTCATTGTCTTGATTTCACTGATGGATTCATAGGATGTGCATATAGGAGAACCTATCAAAGGGCACCCTTTAGATATGTGCATTTTATTGCATGTCAATAATAGGTCACTGAAGCTCTTAAGAGAAAGAGGAGCACCAATCAGTAAAACAGTACAATAGCAGTGTGATCAGAAGAGCACACATCTCAGAGGGCAGAGAATTGTATATCCTTAAGGAAAACACGGGTAGGATCCATCCAAGGGTCATGCGTGTTTTGTCACAAAATTACTGCAGTACAGATGTGGCTTTTATAAACTTATGAAACTGTTCTAGCTTACAAGAGGATACTACACTTTTCTTTTTAAGTTCGGTAAATCAGAAATCAGAAATAAGCTTATATAGCCTGGCCAGAGTGGCTCAGTAGTTGAGCGTCAACCCATGAACCAGGAGATCACGGTTCGACTCTCGGTCAGGGGACACGCCCAGGTTGTAGGCTGGATCCCCAATAGGGGCATGCAGGAGACAGCCAATCAATGACTCATCATTGATGCTTCTCTCTCTCCCCCTCTCCCCTTCTTTCCGAAATCAATAAAAACATATTAAAAAAATCCAAATTAGGTTTAAAAAAAAAAATCACATAACTATCACAGGCCAATGTGGAAAAGGTTATTTTGGAGTCTAAAATCTTGATCCCATTATACATGTTCTAAGCACAGGTCCACATATAGATACAGATTTCTGTGATCCTACAAGGTGAACAAATGCAAACAAATCTATAAGGATAGATCTCCCAACCACAGCAAGGGCAAGTGAAATGGAATCTGGAAGCTGAGTGCCTAGAAAGAAGTGGAAGCCCTTAGATGGTTAGTTTTTCCCTGCGCACCTAAAAATATCAGAGGTCTTAGCGTGGACCACCCAGAGTAGAATCAGACTAGAAGGGCGAACTCTTATCTCTCCATCACCAAGGGAACTGAACTGAGCTGTGTTCTAATGCTCTTACCTGAAACACTAGAATTCCTGTGTTCGCAACAGCCAGGTTGATCTTAGTACCTTCCCTGTCCTTAGCCGGGTGCAACCGGATCCCATACATCTCCAGCCTACGGGCGATCTCCAGGAGCTGGAAATCCGATTCTGCTGGTGTTTGTCCACTGACAAAACAAAAATTAAAGAGAAAGGCCAGGAGATTTGAATTCCCCGTCTATTAATTTGAGATTAAGGAGCTTCTCTTGGGAAATAAAAGGCATTTCACCGTAAACAATGGGGCTACCCGATCAGATGACACCCAACCTCCCATTCATTATAACCCAAAGTCGAGCAGCTAGAACAAAAGCTCTATTGCTTGTGTAACATAAAACCCCAAAAGTCTATCTCAACCTTGGCCAATTTTTTTTTTGAATCTCAAAAGAGTTTCCTTTAAGGTCATATAAAAGCAAAACACCGTCGTGTTAAAACACGTTTTTAGTCACTCACAATAGACCTAAACTTGCAAACAAAGTTCAAGGCACCATTCTCTCATGTTATCATAAGGACTCAAGTGCCCTCCTTCAAACAACAACAACACAAACAAAAGGCACAGAGAATCCTTTGAAAATGTTTTACTGATCCAAACAAAAAAAAACCAAAACAGAGTGGAGATGGTACAAAAGTTCTAGATTTTCACGATATTCTTCCTTTGCCCCTAGTGTACCATGTCACTTTCCCAATTTCCTATTAATTGGTCTTTTACTCTCCCTTTTAATCCAAAGCATGGGGTGTACTAAAACTCCCGCATGCTCCGGTCTCACTGTAAGAAAAGTCAAGAGGCCTGGAGCTCTGGTTTTGAGCGGGTAACCTGCATTTCTGAGAGCTCTTTTCCTTTCCTCACACTTTGCCTATTTCTTCCCAATAGCTACTGTGTCTCTCTGTGTGTACCCATGTATGTCTGAAGGACAGAGAGAAACGGCTGAAAGGAAATGTAAAGCAACAAATAGACTTACATGTGGTTATGGTGAAATTCCACAATTTTATCTTCTAGTGCATCTTGCTGAGGTATGTACTTATTTTTTGCTAAGTGTTCTCTGTCCGATGCTTCATCAAAATCCCCAATCTCGGCTACAGACAGAGAAAGAAAAACCAGCCCATATGATTAATACTCCACAATTTGTTCCATCCCCAGTGGAATACTCCCCACTAGCAAACTGGAAGCTAGCTGACAACAGAAAGCGATCCCAGCTGGTGGGTATCACAAGGCTAGATGTCAGAAGTGTGGACGTGAGGACATATTTAACAACTGCTCCAACATAAAATAATGGTTTCCACTCTTTCTCATTTCTAACAGCTGGAAAGAAAACTTGAGAATTATCCATCCTTGGCCATCCAAGTTTCCTGGGGTTTCTTTCCTCCCCACCCAACTGGGGTCACTTCTGTTCCGGGCAGTAATTCAAGACATGTGGTTTATGACCCATGACTTCTAAATAGGCCCCCATTTCAGAACTTCACAAAATCAACTTTTGAAAGCCTTATATAAAACAATGATTAGTGCAAACCCAAAACGTTTTATCATGTAGGGAAATAGGCTGTAAATAGGTATAAAGGTACGTAATCTAATTTGGGTAAAAAAAACTATTGCCACTTGCTAAATTTCTTGTAGTCCTCTTATCAGAAATGACTAGTCAGACTACAAGTGCTTATAAGTTTTTCATCTACAAGAAATAGGATGCATCTTTCTCTCATGGAACCTCAACATAGTCCCCAGATTGCTGTAATCTGGAAATTTAAAGGATAGAGCTTTAAAATAATAATTGTACCCTAACAGCAGCAGCTCCAGCTCTGTTTGTACCAGTTTAATACCTCTGGGACAGCAGGCCTTTTTCTTTGGATCATGTAATCTGTGTTACAAGCTTAAGAAAAACTAGCCTAATGACCAGCGCCCTGCTGTTCTGAGTAAAAGCAAGTGAACTGCTGCTATGAAACCTACCTTCCATTTCCTCAAGTGAAGCAACTTGTTATACTTTAGCCAATGCCCCTGCAGGACTCCTGCAGGATATGGCCTATACGTTGTCATGAATCTCACCCACTGAGAATATTTGCTCTGCATAAAACAGTGCCAACTCACCTGGCACCAGCTGGAAGAATCAATCACTCACTTCCTGCAGCTCTGACAGATCAATAACACGATTTCCTAATCGCCTTTCCTAGACTAATTTTTCCCTCCCTAGATAGAGTAAAATTGCCACCCTCCATCACAGAACACAGCACAGAAGAGGAGGGGCCTCTCTGGCCATACTGCTATCCTCGTTGGTGGCCTTGATGATGGTGGCACTGACTTTTCTGCAATTCCTTCCATCTGGCCTCAAGAAAGAACAGTTCACTATCACTCTTCACAGCAGTTGTGTTCTATGAAGACCCCATGAACGCTGAATTAGCAAATACTAACCACTGCTCCCAGGGGAAATAACTGACCTTGTTCTATGTGTGCTTCTGTTGAAAGACATCATATTTTATATACATTATCAATTCATTTACATTGAACTTGCAGCCAGCAGCACCACAACTCATGCCTGAGCAAAGCTCAACTGACACACGGATTTATGTTCTCTGTAAGGCATATCGCAGCCTTCGGGACTGAGGAGCACTAGGTAGCAACTCAATATGGCACTTGGGACCATTGTAAACAGGGGAATCGCCAACAAAAAGCACAAAAATGCAAAAGCACGGCACTAAACAGTCCGGAAAAAGCACCCTTGTTTATGGTGTGAGAGCTGAAAAAGGAAGGCAGGATGCGGCCCTTTTGACCTCAGCTGGGAGTGTGTGCGTGGGATAACTCAAATTTTTCACCATCTTGTGTATGTCTGCTAATGACCACAAAAGCACCACAAGTATTGATTTGGGGGTTACAAGTAACTTTTATACAGCAGGTGGATTTGCGAATACAGACTGTGTGTGGAACAATGCAGACTGACTGCTTATGGGGGACTCACCTGAATCCTAATTTCTTGAGAGCTTTAGATTTGGGCTTCTTAACGGGTATGGATTTAATAACACACTTTTCCATAATTCAATATAATAAAAGGGTTAAGAATTCCAGTTTTTCCTTTGGCATCAGGGTCAATACACCTGATTATCTTTTTTTTTTCCTGAGTCATTTTCCTTTCACTGCCCACCTAAAATGCAATGGTACTATATGACTAAGAAATTCACTTTCTCTTCAGAGTTCCCTTCTTTGAAATACGAAAATAGGCTCCTCCTTATATATGGAGAGTTTGAAAACTGACAAATATTCAAGAAATGATTTAATATTTTAAAGTATTTTTATGCCAAGATGCCATATTAGCTTATGCATACACTAAGTTCCATAGCAGTCCACTCATGTCAAAGAATAGGGATTATAAGAACAACCCAAAACCTGTGGTTTTATTAAATGAAATCTCATGAGGATATGCTTGGACAATCCGTCTGCCACATGTCATCTTCAGCATGGAGACACACAGCCTGAAGATGCAGCCTCTGAGCTACCCAAGTGGAATGTTAACATCAGGGCTATCTAGTGATTGATTCTTCATCACTTGTCCTAGTTAACTGATTCATAGTAAAGAAAATTAAAAGTTAAAAATGTTGCAGGGGTTATCTATATAAGGCCAGTGACAGAGAAACAAATGAGAAAATACAGACTATCTGAAAGACAACTTCATGAGTTCAAGTAAAAGAGAGGACAATTTAAAAAAAAATTCAGATTGTGTATACAGATATTCATGAGATGAACATACGGCTCATTTGAGGTAATTTTCCATCAGCACTAATGTAGCTTTTGCAAAAGGGAGATGAGGTGACTCCCTCATACCTTACAAATAATGCACATAATCATCAATAATTTTAATCAACACACTATACACAGAGGATTGTGAAATTCCTCCTTCCATGAATGAGTGCATGGGATGCTTAAAAATTCAGAAGTGGGGCTTTAAAAATATCAGAAGATTATAAAAATATTGTGTGTCTCATCACTGAATAAATAGTATGCAAATAGCAGGCATACTTCTGAACAGATCTATTTCATTCTCTCTGGAGAACTCAAGGTTCTCGGGGAATTTTGAGCTTCTGTTGCTAAGAAGGAGGGGCCATCAGACGAACACATGGTTTTCTGAGTGCTGTGAACCTGCACTTCCATATGTGCGAGTGAGATTTACTACGTTGACAGACTGTAAAAAGGAAGAAACTTAAGAGGAGGAAATAGGCACAAGACTAAATGGCATCAGGAATATTAAAAGCCCTGGGTCATAAACATTTTATCAAGTTACTATCCCAATAAGGAAGCTTCATTTTAAAATGTTCCATTGTTTGGAAAGGGAGGGTTGCAGGTGAGTGAGGTAAAGAGAGGAGAATATGTTTACAGAACACTTAACATGTATTGGGTATTTGTGCCATCGTTTAATTTTCACAGCCTTATGAAAAAGTTATATTATTTTCATGTTCCACAAGAAGGAAGAGGTGGGAGGGGGGTAGCAACATGCCACGGTCATCCATCAACTAATAGAAATCAGGTCTGCCTGATCCAAAGCCCTCCTCTCTCCACTGTCACATGAAGAGGGAAGGTAAAACACAAAAGGCAAAAGCTATAAAATTTTCTGTGCCAAAGCGTCCTCATTTTTAAAAATGGGGTAATAATACTACAGATCTCACATGGTTGTTATGGAATTAAATGAGATACTATACATAGTGCTACAACATAGTAAGGTTGAATAAAGGATACCTAATTTTTTGTTTTGTTTTTCTTACATCGGTTTTCAAATTGATAAGAAAACATCTCTCTGCTAAGTCTGGTCGATAATGCCCATATGCAAAAAAAGAAAAAGAAAAAAGAGTAGCATGGTCTATAAAAACACCTCATCATATTAGACTAAGGTGATTATTGATTAGCTGACTATTAGGAGTGACATTTCCTACAAACCTTTGGAAGTCTTATTAACTAGGCAGTTACTCGAATGGGATGGGGCTGATTATATGGGACGCCTTTGTATACAACGGAATTTTTTAAATGATAGCACAATTTTTTTTATACTAGTGCTTATATATGTTGACTTTGGTCTATATACATAATTTATCTTCCTGAAACACCACATATATATTCCATTTCAAGTAACTTCTGCCTTGGCCAGAAAAAAGTGCTCAGGTAGATTGTTAGTAAGCCTTAGCATGAGCACAATCTAATCTGTCCTTTGTCTAGATTAAGAAAGTTAAAATATTTCATTTGAATCATCACTAGGATCCAGTCTAGCTTCATATGTTTTGAACTCTAGAGTGCAGAATACAAGAAGTGAAATCTTTGACAGTTTTATGTCCTACAGCTAATGTCCATAGTCAATGATAAAGGACAGAACAAGTTTAGTCTACTTGGCCCCCATCCCTCCAAGCTTCTCCTTTAAGACAACTGAGATGTCAACAATTGCACAAGACCATAAAAAGGGTAGATAAACCAGAACACAGTATTCCTGGGTCAATGTTTGGGGGAATACACATATTAAACGAAATTAGGAGTATTCTTTTCTACCCCTAAGTATTCATGATAACAGCAAAAGAACATAAAAACATTATTACTGTTTTAGTGGATCTCATTTTCTTTCCAATCAATCAAATCATTGTGTTATCTCCAACATGATTTCTAAATTAAACCAACAGAACTTACATTGTACAATGTGTGAGATCAACAGGGCAGCGCTGGTGTCATTACACGTCAGCCTACCCTGGGCCAGGTCCTGCTTCACCTGCAGAGCAAACAGGTACCTGCGAATACACAGAGAGATGGGCATCGTCAACACAGAGATGGGCATATGGAGGGCGGGAAGGGCAGCATCTAAGTGAGGCTCACCCCTGGCAACCTGTCCACACAGTGATCAACTAAAGAAAGGTACATAAACCAAGGAAAAGAAAGTCCGCAAGGCTGGAATGGATTTCTGGTGCCACTGACTGCCACATAAACACAGCCTCCCTTGAAGGCCCAGGAATCAGGTGCTGTAATCTTTTCACACACCGAGTAACACATTTCACTCTATATGAAGAGATACAGTGATAAAAACATAAGACAGTAACTTACTACCCTATATATCTTTACAGGGTAAAGCAAACGTTTAAAATTTTTTCACAGATCAAATACACTAAAAAATGGCTTTATGGCTCAGACAACAGCAGTAGTTAATTATGGTTAGTAAGAACTTTGCCGACAGGAAACAGAAAGACAAGGGTGTCTTTTTTGTGGTGCAATACTCACTTAACTACTTCCATAAGCCTCAGCTTCCAGATGTGTAAAAATCAATTAAAAATTTTTTTTCTTTATATTGTAGGATAAAGCACAAACTTTTTTGGTGAAAGAGAAAAGAGGTATTTATAAAACAAAGAAATTAAGGAAAAATAGTGCAATGTTAAAACTGATTTGAAAATACCAGTATGAACTCATAAACTTTTAGAAAAGACATTTATTAGTTTTGACCACTGCCTAGAAACCCTTAGCAATCAGACTCTGGCTCTCACCCAATTGCCCACTGAAAGGACACAGGGGTAGGTCCTTGGAGAAATGGTAGATTCCAGGGTAGGGAAAAGTTCAAAATGAGCCTGGAATATCAAATTATGCCAGAAAGCAAGGCAGCTTCCAAAAATAAATGTGTTATATTGAAGGAGCATCCATTGGCCAAAGTAGCAGCTTGAATAGCAACAAGAGTTATTAAAGTGACTGGAAAGACATGGAAATAATGAAAATTCAAGGGTTCATATAACGCTACTAAAAAAAAAAGTGAAAACAACAAAAGCTGAATGTATCACCAATTTGAGGAGACTGTTAAAGCAATTCTTCATTCAAGCATTGGTAACCCAAGGCAAAAATGTGGTCATGTACTCTGCCTCTCCAGGAGGAGGGGTACTTCAGGATGTACAGATAGTCCAAGTGGATGAGGCACACTTCTACCTTACAGAAGAAGGCTACCTAATGATGTAGCAGGAATAACAGAATGAGAAGATCCTCATTCTACAGCCTCTGAAGAAATTACTGACTCTGGCAAGGATTGTTAACTGGCATAAAAACAATTTAGGAAACTGGATATTTGCATAGAGACAAAGTAACATGACCTTATTTCATAATGGAAAGATCACAATATCACCTCCCTAATGATCAATCTTACCATCATTAATGAATAGGAAGAACACAACATGACTTATGATGAATTCTAGCCAAAAATGCTTAACTTGTATCTGTCAAGTCTTTAGAACTAACTTCCAATTTTCAGGAAATACAGAGGCTAGCGGAATAAGCTAAATAGCACAAGAAAGCAATCAATCAGACATTTCAAGAGGTAAGATATTCTGTAGTACAACCAACTGGTCCAGCTTCTCTACCAAGACGGTATCTCAAGGAAAAAAAGAGGGACTCTGCTAGATTAAAAGCGGTCCAAGGACATAATAACCTGATGCAATATGTGATCCTTCAGTAAATTTCATTTTAGAATAAGCAGGTATAAGTGGCGTTTGGGGGACAAATAGGGAAATTTGAGTATGGCCAGAGTATTAGATGAGATGAAAAGTACATATATATGCATGGGGGGAAAATCAGAAAGGACATCACACTGATGTGTTAACAATGTTAATCTCTGAGCAACAGGACTACAGTATTTTTATCTTCTTAGTCTTGTTTATCTGTATATTCTAACTTCCTACACTGTGCATTGGTTCCTTTTGTAATAACAAAGGGTTATTTTTGCCTGGCAGGTAGAGCGTCAACTAAGGATCCAGGCGATTGGGGTTTAATTCCTGGTCAGGGCACATGCCTGGGTTGCGGGCTTGATCCTCAGTCGGGGGCGAGCAGGAGGCGGCTGATCAATGACTCTCTCATCGTTGATGTTTCTATCTCTCTCTCTCCCTCTCCTTTCCTCTCTCTGAAATCAATAAAGATATGTTTTTTTAAAAAAACAAAGGGTTTTTTATTTTTTTTTAAAAGGTTTTAACAAGATCAACCAGGTTTCCATTAGATGAGATAATACATGGAAAGCACAGTGACTAGAATAAACACATTCAATGAATGTTAGCAACTTTTTAAGTAAAGTAAAAATGAGCCCAGCCGGAGTGGCTCAGCAGCTGAGCATCGACCTATGATCCAGGAGATAGTGGTTCAATTCTCAGTCAGGGCACATGCCCGGGTTGCAGGCTCAATCCCCAGCTGGGGGCGTGCAGGAGACAGCTGATCAATGACTCTCTCATCATTGATGTTTTTATCTCTCTCTCTCCCTCTCCCTTCTTCTCTCTGAAATCAATAAAAAATATGTATATTTTTTAAAAAAAGAATACCCTTTAAGTCATTTAGAAAGTTCCATTATTAAGAACTAAAAAACAAGTGGCAATTCTGTAACCATCAAAAACAAAACAAAAGCCCAAAACAAAATCACCCACATATCCACCAGTTAACAGTTGACCTTTATCCAACCCCCCTAATGTTTATTTATGTTCTCACATTCTCTCCCCCCCCTTTTCTCAACCCCCTCTTCTCTCTCTCTCTCTCTCTCTCTCAGGGAAGTCCAAGGGAAGAAGAGCAGAGAATATAAAATAAAAAAACATTGACATATAGGTTTATATAGGAGGAGGCAGAATAAACCATCTTTCTGCATTAGGTATTGGTTATTGTCTTTTCAACCCAACAATTAATTCTTAGAGCTACAGGCTCTAATTCTTAGCTATATGGTTAATTTTAAAATAAGCATGAGGGCTTTATATTTTACGAACATTACATTCTGAATATTTTACCATCTCAAGTTGAAACTGGGGGTCCCGTGTTCACAGGGATGGATTCAGGGTCTGGCAGGCTTTGGGGGCCTTTGGTGACAGTCTCGTGTGGGCTGTGAGATGGCAGGGGGCTCTGAAAGATCACACATTTAGTGAGAGGGCAAGTGGCATGCTGAGGACTGCGGGAAGAACTTGTCACCCTAAGTATGCTGACTCTTTCTGTTCTAAGGATCTTGTAATACGAGAAGGACCTTCCTGGGTACTGATTCTTGATGACTCTCGAGCAGGCTGGCTGCAATGCTAACATTAGAGATTCAGCAACACCTTCTGTCCTATGAACTGAAACAATTCCAATCAAATTCACAAGAGCTAAAGCCTAAGATGTACTCAGAAGGCACTAAATAAAATTAAACCAGTAAACACAAGGAAAACACTCAAAGCACTCAAAAAGGAATCTCCTTGGGAGGATGTGAGGAGCAAGGAGGTGACAGTGGTGGACTAGTCAAGAAGGGCTTCACTTCCCGGGACTGCAAGAGTTGCAAATCACACCCACCTGATGCCTGGTTTTACACATGTCTATTTTCATATAGGAGGTCTGACTCTTTTTCTTCTTCAGTGTCATGTCCAATTTATCTGCCAGTCTAAGGAGACTTTGCCCAGCAGCAAGTTCCGATAGGGTCTCTTGCTTAAACAAATGCAGCCGAGTAGAAATTAGATTTGATTGAGGATGAGACGCCCAAAGAGAAGTGTGCCTAAACTCATCAGCACCAGAAAAGTGACTCAGAGCTCTGCAATCAAAAGGCCTAGTGACTTCTTTTTCAAAGAACTCACCCTAGCTTTTAAAACTTGCACCTAAGAGTTGGTGCTTTTCTCCTTCTGTCCATAGGACAGAGTTTCACCAAAAGTGCAGTTCGATAAATAGACAGGAATTCAGCTTCCTGTTTAACTGCCAAGTGCAATGTAATCTTCCATCTATATAAATGGGAAGCTGAAAGCTATTCCTGGAGGCCCAAAGAATTAACCTCAGGGCTAGAGTCACTTAGAGCCGGTCAAACTATAGTCTGCAGGTCCGTTTCTGTCTCGCTCTTTCCACACGTCCCTCGCCTACATTAGCACTGTCCACACAGGCCTTCTCCTAAGCCCTCCCTCACTTGCCATCTGCTATAGAAAAGTCCCCGGCGTCTCAATGGTCACATCGTTCAATTTTTGCTTACACCAGAGTTTAAGTGTGGGAGTCAACACATTGGATCTGGGAGGCGCTCTTCACGTAATAGCTCGTGACAAAGTGGAAAGCAATGGGGAGCTTTCTAAGTTTCGTATCAATTTTATTCACCCTTGAGCCCAAAGAATTCTCTCTTCAGGAAAGTGTCAGTTAGCAGTGGGAGCCAGACAACAAAATCCTAAACCCGCTGCATCCAGCTGAGCTGTGTAACGTGAGGGAGTTACTAGATCGGCCAGAGCGGCTGGCAAGATACCAGGCACACTTGGCCTGAGGGTAACTAGTTGTATGGAATTTTATAACAAGGACCAGAATGGTAGAAAACTACAAACCTCTAAAGGCACTGAGTCATAAAAATTGAAAAGGTGCAAAACTCATTGCAAAGTAGAAAAGGCAGGAAAAGTGGGGGAAAGGGGATTTATGCTGCCAATTTCCTAAGCAGGATAAAGGCCCAGTGGGACGGACGCAGGGGGGGAAAAAGCACACTGCTGACCAACAGCTAGACTCGTCCACAGATTTATTTCAGTACTCTGAGCTTGGAGCAGTGCATGTTCCCATGACAGGAAGGCTGGCCCCAGAACCTGGGACACAGTAGCCCCAATGACACCACACAAAGATGTGTCATCGGCCTCTCTGTCTTATGCAGCTGGGTTTAGTGGCTCCAGCTGCCTCTCCTCTACTTAAGCATTCTGGCAAACTGTATACAGTTCCCAGAGGCTGAGGGCTTCTGCAGCTCCTAGCCGCCTCTGACTGCTTCACCGATTTGAGGATTGTAAGTGGAGGCAAACAAGCAGTGGTGACCCATTCAGAAAATACAAAACCTTCGCCTCTCGCTGGAATCCACACTCATGTGCCCAATGCCCTTCTTGATGCATCCACACAATGTCAAGTAGGTATTTCAAACGCAGCCTTGTAGAAGCAAGCTCTTGACTCTCTTCTGCTCCCCAATCCATGCCTTCCCTCCACCCATTCCCATTTTAATCATCACCACGACCACCCAGCCAGTTGCTTCAGTCAAATCTAAGCATCCCCTCTACCTCCCTCAGTCTCTATGCCCAACCTGTCACCAAGATGGACTGACCCCACCTCTAGCAAGTATTGCAAATGCAGCCACACATTTCCATTTCCACTCCTACCACCTCCCCCACTGCCATCCTCTCAGCCTGGGTGGCGGCACTCACTTTCTCACTGGATTCCCTGCTGTCAACCTCCCCACAACATCCAGGTGGCAACTCGTCTTTCAACAGGACGTACATCCAGGCCTCTCTCCCATCTCACTGCACTTCGCCCTCAAGGTCCCTGTCATGCCTGCACACATTAATGATCGACACCTTTCACCTGTTCCTGCCTTGGGCACTGCCTACCTGGAAAGCTCTCCCTCCGAAAATGACTGGCAGGCCCTCATCATTTCCTCAGAGAGGCACCCCAGACTAATCAATCTAAAATCGTCACCCAGTCACCTTCTATGCCATTACCCTACTTCAGTGACCTAAAGAGCCATTACCATTATCTGATATTTTTATTTAATCCTTTTGTCTGTTCCCATGAGAGGCAGGCTTATCTTTTCACCACTATATCCCCAGTGCCTAGAACAATGCTGGCACACAGTGCACACACTTCATTCTCTCTTCATAAATGACGGTCAACCACCCATGATACTGTGCTCTGTACCAGGGATGAGAGGATGAGGAACTGTGATAGCCTTGGTCTGAAACAGTTACAGCTTGAAAGGGAGTGTGGCAGGAATTGGGCTGGTCAGACAAGTGTACGCAAAGGGCACTCTTGAAAGGGAGGCATTTTATCTTCACATGTTCCCACTGGGCTCTGATCTCTTAGAAATCATTTAGAAACCACAAATTGTAAAATAAGTAGTAGTGAAGATAATGACAATGATGGTGACGATGGTGATGGGCATCCCTACTGGGTTCCAGCCATTGTATGTGTAATAGTGCTTATCCTCAAAACACCCATGGCCAAGTCAGCCTTATAGTCACAATGACACTGAGGAATTGAGACAGGTGCAGAGGGAACAAGTAACTGGCCAGTCACACCACTATCAAAGGCAGGACTAAAGCCAAAGCCAGGCCCGACGGACGCTCCCGCTTCTCCCACTTGGCCAAGCTGCCAAAAAAACTGACCTACAGTTCCTGTCCACCCACCCCTGACGGCAATGAAGAGAAACTCTGAGTTCACATCTTGGTTTCACAGGAGAGATTCACCTTCCAAAACCATCTTGTGATGTGATAGATAAGAGGAAAAATATGGCAGTAACAGGGTAAGTCCAGTCCACTTCATATCACAGCCTTAAAGAAACCAGACCTCATTGCTTCTCTGCCTTTTGGCTAAGATCAAGTGTAGAAACCAGGCTTCAGGGAAAACGTGGCACTTGCTTACCCCCACGCTTGTCAGCATAACTGGAAGAGAGGGGGTTAAACTCTTAAGCGCAGAGTAAATGCTGGTTAAGTAGATACTCAGAAAATTTAATCAAATTGACTCAGAACATTAACTTTCTCTTCTCCTCGGCACCCCATAGCAATTAATAGCCAAACCACTAACCTTGTGAGTTCTTCTTGGAGTTGTGTGTGGTCAGGTGGAAAGAATTTCACCACAAACCTAACAACAACATGCTTTGGCCCTAAAGAAGAAGAAGAAAAAAAGCAGTAAAGCAGTTATTGATTTCTGTTTCAAATGCAATATTAAAAAAAAAAGATTTTCTGGGGTATATCATATACCAAATGAGTCCATTCCAAGTAGCCAAGAGTACACCTGCTGACATGCAAGTCACTGAACAACTGGTTAAGTCAGTTACTAAATCACACTTTCACACTGTGGGGAAAGAGGTACCTGTTTGTTTTAAACTGTGACAAAGGTATTACATGGAGGTATTAAACTTTTTCTCAGTTTACTCAGGTTTAAAAGACATTTCTCTTATAAAAAAAAAAAATTGCCTAACTGCTTTAGTCCAAGTTTTAGATCATTTTAAAAGGAGATGATGGAAATGTAAATCAATAATGTAATTTATTATTTTTAACTCTCTACAAGGTAGAGCTGCTAATGTGTTCATCAAATATGTATCTAGCACCTATACGCCAGGTGCTCTCCTGAGGCCTGGAGAGAAACCACAACAAGACGAGGCCCTGCCCCCGCCCTAGTCAGCCAAAGCCTTTTGAGTGTCTTATAAACCATCTTATTGGGAGGGGGTGGTCAGGGAGAGAATATGAAGAAGAGTAATAAATTTTGTTTTCAGAATTAAAACAGAACAAATAGATTATAAAATAATAATCTGTAATCTGAGTCAGAGTTTGTTTGATGTATTAGCTACAATATAAGGGTGGTCTTACAGCTTCTGCTGTTTAGAATGATAGCGATGAATTTATGTTATATGAAATATAAGGCACTGTAATGAAATCCCAATCTTAACAGTACTCATATGAAAGCAGAAAATGTCTTTTTGCTCTTCCTTTCACTATCACAAAAATAGATGCTGTATCATAATTTCTATGCTAACACATTCAAGTTTAGGAAGAAAACAAAAAGGATATATCGTAAGGCGAAGATGTCGCCAATATACACAAATATTGAAGCAAATAGAAGCTGGGCTTTTCCCTAATCAATCTAAAAATTAACAAAAACCCTCGCATGTCAATTCTGAGTCACAAAATAACAATAGCAAAATGGGGAAGGTCACTCTACTTCTTCTCATTGTCACAGACACAGGAATTTAATGAGGACACTCAGATCCTTAGAGAACCGGAAGCTAAGTAGATGCTAGCACTAAGTAAAAATGACTGCTCTGTCACCCACGGCTAGTCAAAGCACATGGAGATGAAAAGGAGCACCCAGCGCTGGCTCAACAGGGACAGACTCTGTCAGCATTTGCTAAATGTGCTAGGAGATTCCTTTCCACCATCAGCATTTCCTATCATGAGTCATGAAAGGGATAAATGTCATCATTCTAGACTCCACAGTACCTTTACCTACCAAGCCTGGGGGGGCTTCTCTCAGTAATGTGCTCCCCACCCCCCACTTGGTCACTGGCCAACCACCCATAAAATGTTAAACAAACAATGGCTGTTTCATTTTCAGCATCAATAACTGCTTAATTTAAATGACAGCTCAACATCAATTTCAACTGCATAAGGGCCATATAGACACTGTGTGCCATTTATCATATCCACATAAACTGCTCTAAGTGGCCCCGTGGGGTTTCTTAGTCACACAGAAAAGCGATCCCACAAGGTATTGCCTGCTGCCGGCTCAGCTAAAGAAATGTAGCTTTGTTACCATCCTCGGACTCTGCCCAGGCTCTGGCTGCAGTGAAGAACTACCTGAATGACTCTGAGAATAGAGCTTGGCTCTGAACTTGACCTTAAAGCAGAGAGACGGGAGGAAGGTCCCGTGCTGAGGCATGTTGAGGAGGGAGAGAAAAACCAAGTGTTCTCTTTTCTCCCTCCTCTCCTAGACCCTCCTGAATCTTTTCTCCAACACATGGTCTAAATACAAGCCAGGTTCCCTTCAGTTCCGCTTGCCATTCAGAAATTCGGAAATGCACACAGGCAGGCACACGCGCGCGTGCACACACACACGCACGCACACGCACACGCACACGCACACACACGCACCTTATTTTTCCAAACCACACTTGCATTCTGATTTCACAGGCTTTGAAGAGGCAGGACAGAAAACCTTACACCAAGTTTATGAATAAACGGCTCCACTTTCCCCCTTCAAAAGTGACAATAAGAACCATGGGCACACACAAGGCAAGCTCAACTATTCTGGGGCTTAATAGCATAGCTTACTTGTTAATCAAAACAACATTTCATTTTCCAGGCAAGGTTTTGATTACCAAATTGCTACACATATTAAAATTGCACAACGTACATTTTAATAGTATGTGGGTTAGTGGATGGTGGAAAGCAATCACGGGGTAAAAAAAAAATCTGTATCACTAACTGCTTGACGCCACAGGACAGCCGACGTCTAGACGAGGAAACTGTCTGGCTTTATATTTAAAATCACTGTTAAACACGCCATATATACTTACTTCTAATCTGCTTGACAATCGGTTTTAAGAGATCCAGCCACACCTACAAAGGAAACAAGAACAGTTTTGAGACACAAAATCGCAATGAAAGAGTGTATTTTGATACTTTATTTGGAGTTGTTTAAAATAAAAATTTTTGCATACTAGAGGCTGTCCCTTTTTTCTCCAGAATTTCATACCTTACATCATCTACCACTTTTATACAACAGATCCAAATTTGCTAACATTGTCCCTAAACTTCAAAATTAAAATCTCTCCTAGACTCAGTAAACTAAAAATTTTTTCTACTCTCATTTGTACTTTGGTCACAGTAAGCTAGTCAGCAAATATGAATGCATGACTGTATGTCAGGCTACAAGCTGAGTGAAATGTAAAAGCCCCTTAGTGAAACAAAATGCATGTGTGTGTGTATGTACAGACAGCACAGCCTGGAGGAATACGAGAAGGGAATGACTATTTACAGAATACCACTTCTGCACCGGGAACTATCCAGAAACTATTTACCTCTATGAACAAGGCCAGAAGGATTCCTGTTACCCAGGAGGGAAATCTGAGACTTGGAGAGGCTCAATAACTTGTCCCAGGTCTCTCAGCTCCAGAGCGCAGAGCCAGGACTGAAATAGGCCGGCCCAACTTCAAAGTCCAGGCTCTTTTCACACATGCTTGCCTTAGCATGCAGTTTGAGTGGCAAATTTTCTGAGTGAGAGAGTGAGTGAGAGAGCGAGTGACAGAGACCAGCTGCCCTTATTAATAAAGTATTTTAACCCTAAGGAAGAGACAGTATGGAAATGGTGCGACACACTCATCCAGAGCTCAGAAGGCCGGGCCAAGATATCTCCCATATAGAAGTCACTACCGCCCTGACTCCATGGAGGGTACGGTCAGCTCATAGGGCCAGAGGATGGGACGCATGAGCACTGATGACGCCTCCACCATGGAACAGCCTCCACCAGGTGGAAGCAGGTGAGGGTGGAAAGAAAATAAGAGAGTTGTGTTGTGGAAGCAACGGGACAAAGGTGTTTTCAGAACAAAGAATATCAAGAGCTGTTGCAAGGTTAAATAAGATGACAACTAGAATATCTGCTGGTCAGTTGACTCAGTGATGGGTCTGAAAGTCTGGTGGGTGGTGAAGAGGCCAGAGGATAAGGACTTTAAAATATATCTATCTATATATAGAGATATTTTTTTTCCAATTACAATTTACTTTCAATATTATATTGCATTGGTTTCAGGTGTACAGCACAGTGGCTAGGCAATCATATACTTTACAAAGTGATTTCCCCTTGATATTTCCTGCACCCACCTGGTACCATACATAGTTATTACTATATTATTCACTATATTTCCCAATGCTGTATATTATATCCCTGTGACTATTTTGTAGCTACCAATCTGTACTTAATCGATGAAGGGCTTTTTCAAGAAGTTGGGTTGTGGAGGAAGAGGAAGAGACTAGGAGTCCAGGAGGTAAAGAAATCAAATAAGGGCATTCATTTGCTTGTTTTAACAGGAAAGCACCCTGGGTGCTTTCAAAAAAGGGGAGGGGTTGAGACTATGAGCAAGAAGAGTTAACCAATGTCCTAAGAGGCCTGAAATGATGCGACAAGGTAGCTCTGAAACAAGAGTGCAACGGCTTGAGTTAGAAAGAAGAGCTCTTCCACTGTCGGGGGAGGGGAGACAAAGACAGAAAGGCTAATGAAAAATGGAAGTAAGTTTCTATTTCTGTGTTGGGAAGATAAGAAAGTTCCTCTTAGATGTCTTCTTTTTCCCCTGTAAAATCTGAGAGTTGGTGGATTGATGCAAAGGTAAATTCAGAATAGTTACGTTGCATGAGACGCTGAGTTAAGTAGGGAATTCTAGTGGGATTCCCAGGGCTGCTCAGCACCCACTCATGCACCTGCCATCCTGTGCTCTTTCGGCCTCCATGGCCGCCTAGGGAGAATCATCTCTGAGATCTTTCACCATCATCAATTCTGCCACAGAAGCTGCCTAAACTCTGCAAACCACTCTGGACAAAACAACTATGCCCTGGCAATGTAGTTGCCGATTTTATGAACTGTTTTAAAACATCTCTCTTCTGTTTTTGGCATTTCTGTGGAAAGCATCAAATACGAGCACCAATTTTGAGCCAACTGAGCATGTGGTTTTAGAACATGTAGGTCTAGAAACATGAGACTGGCCTGAATTAGCCCATTTGGTAGAGCTCTGCAGCAATGCCGCCACAGGGCAGCAATCCCACCACAGTCAAACTGGCCTGGGTGAGAACAGGGAGCCTATGAGAACCTCTGCAGTTACCAGTTAGATATTTGCAGAGACGAGAGAAAAGGTTGGCACACATAGGATTCAATCTACTGTAAGTGGATGAGCTAGAAGGAGCTCCTCGTTTCTAAGAAGAAAAATGGGGTTGCTGCTTGACTAGAGTTAAAGCACTGAAGTGTGATATATGGGGAGGGCTACTGAGAAGCATTTTAAGTGCATCAGACCACCTTAGACAAATCACTTGCTCATTCAATCTAAGCGGAACAGAAACAAGTTCCAGATGTGTTAAAAAGGTGACAAAGCAACACAGTCTTTCTTTCACTGCCCACAGATCTCTAGAGGGTCACAACTGGAATGATGTATCTTTAACTGCACCCTCCACCCCTTCAACTAAGCCACACATCCCCGCTTCTCTAAAACCACGCCCGCTGATGGCCAGAGCACAACTACACAGCCACATTACCGACTGTAAAGGGATCTGGTCAAAAAGAATGAACTTCTAGAAATGTCATTCCCTGTGAGTATGACTCACCAAATAAAGGAAGTTTACCCTGCTGAGATTTGAAGGTCCATTGGAAGAGTTTGCTAGGGCTGTCATGAAAAAGTACCACAGACTAGGTAGGCAGGTAGGCATGGACAACAGAAACTGATTTCCTCACAGTTCTGGAGGTTCAAGGTGTTACAGGTTTGGTTTCTCCTGAGGCGTCTATCATTGGCTTACAGATGGCTGCCTTCTGGCTATGTCATCACACGGTCTTCTATGAACACATGCCCTGGTGTTTCTCGGGTATTTCCAAATTTCTTCTTCTGAAAATGAAACCAGTCGGACTGGACTAGGGCTCACTCTAACTGCCTCATTTTAACTTAATCACCTCTTTTAAAGGCTGTATCTTCAAGAACAGCTACATCCTGAAGTACAGGTGTTAGAGCTTTAACATACAAATTTGGGGGGGGGGGGCACATTT